AGATATGCTGGAGGGTAGGGCTAGAACTCAGCGAGACCTCAACAAATTGAAGGATTGGACCAAAGAAATCTCATGAGATTCAATACAGACAAGTGCAAAGTCCAGCACTTAGGACGGAACAATCCCACGCACTGGTACAGGCTGGGGACTGACTGGCTGGGCAGCAGCTCTGCAGAAAAAGACTTGGGGGTTACAGTGGACAAGCAGCTGAATAGGAGCCAACAGTATGCTCTTGTTGCCAAGAAGGCTAACAGCATACTGGGCTGCATTGGTAGGAGTGTTGCCAGCAGATTGAGGGAAGTGATTATTCCCCTCTATCTGGCACCAGTGAGGCCAAATCTGGAGTACTGTGTCCAGTTTTGGACCCCCCCGCTACAGAAAGGACGTAGATAAATTGGAGAAAGTCCAGTGGAGGGTAACAAAATTGGTGAGGGGACTGGGACACAGGGCTTATGAGGAGAAGCTGAAGGAACTGGACTTATTTAGTCTGGAGAAGAGAAGACTGAGAGGGGATTTAATAGCAGCCTTCAACTGCCTGAAGGCTAGTTACAAAGAGGATGGAGCTGGACTGTTCCCAGTGGTGGCAGAGAGCAGAACGAGAAGCAATGGTCTCAAGTTGAAGCAAGGGAAATTGAGGTTATCCGATTGGATTAGATTAGATTAGATCCGATTGCCAATATGTAGCCTGGCAGCTTGTACAGCAGCATCTGGCTTGTAGAGCAGCTTGTAAGTCTGCTGTGGGGAAGGGGCATGGGTGGGTGGGAGGAAGAGAAAGGGAAGGGGGGGCAAATTGAGGCCTCTGTGGTGAGGGAGGGAGTGGGGCAGGGGCAGGGGCAGGTACTGCCCAGCTGGGGAAAAGGCAGGGCACAGGGCGGAGCTACGAGTGGCTCGTCCAGTGGGCACTGGGGTGTGTGGCTCCTGCTGCTGTGCACACCACCAGGGGAGTCATGGGGGGCATGTGCCCCTGAATCTGTTTGCAGAGCGACGGTGGGCTTCTGCTGTGGGCTGGGGCCAGGGGTGGTGCCAGGGTCTTAACCATGGGGAGGTTGAGCTGCACTCAGGGCAGGTGGCAGTGGTGCTGGGAGGGGGGCTACAGGGGGTCAGGGCTACAGCCAGCCCAGAATTTGCCATAGTCTCCTGTAGTCCCCACTCCTAGCACCATTGCCACCTGCCCTGAGTGCAGCCCTGGCCCAACCTCCCACTGGGAAGAGCCCGGCACTAACCCCCACTCCAGCCTGAAGCAGCAGCCCACCCTTGGCCTGCACACAGATCCGGGGGGCAAGTGCCCCCCCGCCTTCCCTGGGGGTGTGCACAGCAGCAGGAGCTGCCCCTTCCTCCTGTGCCCCCCCTTCTGTGCCCCCCAGATGAGCTGTTCACAGCTCTGTCCCATGCCCCACCCCGGCTGGGCAGCGCTTGTCCCAAACCCACTCCCTCCCTCCCTCTCCACGGGAGCCTCAGTCTTCCCCACCACCCCTTCCCCCACAGATTTACCAGCTGGATTGTGCTCCCCAAGCTACCAGGCTGGCTGCATGCATGCTGCGACTACACGCACACACGTGGCATTTATCGGCAACAGTATCAGCCACACCAGCCAAAAAAAGTTGATTGCCAATAATGTTGATCTTCTTTTTATCAGTGCTGATACGATATGGACCGATGTATTGGTGCACCTTTATCTATAACCCCTCATTTCTCACTATGTTCCCTTAATTTCTCTGAGTCCATTTTTATTGTCTTTCTTTACATCCACTATGTATCCTAACTTGTAAGTAATCCTATTGAATAAGCTATTAAAAATCACAAAATAAATCATGCAGGATGGTACATTTCCACATAAGAAAATACAGCAGATTGGCACTCATTTTAAACAGAAAACAAAACATGACTACTATTCTTCTTGCATTTTTCTAATCTTATTTTTTGTAAAAAATCTAAAAATATACAGCGTTTACTTGCATACTACACATACCTTTTCCTCAAAAAACAGTCCTCTGAAATTGGGGTGCATGTCTTAAGCAGGAAAGCTGATTTTTCTTCACTGAAATAGAAGTATGGAGACACTATGCTCGAATGGCTGCCAAAATGACTGCCACTTCTCTCATTGCCAGTAAATAGCAGGTTTGGAGTTCAGTGTCCCAGCTGTTCAGACAAAACTACTGTTAATTCCTTAGTAGCTGTGAGAAAGTTAACACCGTAGCTTGTGCCTAAAGCAGCTACTGAACTGGCTGAGGGCAACTGAGTTGGTGCATGCAGCCAGTCATGACTCCAGAAAAAATTTTCCTCCTACATTCTGCCTTCCAAAAACAAAGTGTGTGTCTTATTGGGGTCATATGGTATGTGAGAATGTATGGCATTTATTCCCCAGTTCTCAATGACACAGAAAGGTAGGAAACTAAAATGTAAGTTTCCTTAAAAAAAAAAATCAAGTATGTACATATTTACCAGACCTAATTTTATGTATAGTGTTGAATCTCTCCTTTCTGCCATCCCTCATATATTTCCTAGCAGACATGCAGAAAGTTTGCAAGTAGGTTATGCCTGTTTTTTACTACATTTTCTAAATCTGATTTTAAAAAATCCCCCAAAAGCTAACTTAAATATTTCCATTGATTAAATCATTTCTTGTTTGATTTTTTATTTTGATGGGAAAACCAGAGAATCAATTATTCCCACAGCTTGCTTACAGCCTCTCCTGCTTCATCTACATTGTGCTTGCATTTGTAAGTGGCAAGGAGTCACCCAGGCCATGAGGCAAACAGGGACCACCAAGGACATGGTGTATATATACCCTACGTACTCCCTAGGGAGTACAGGCAGTGAAGTCCCTCTCCTCTCCAGGTTGGCTTCCTATAGGGCTTGTTCATATGCCATATGGACTGTTCTCTTGCTACCCACCATATAAGTAACATGCAAAATGTGGTCCCAAGTATCTCTAATACTTGCTTTCAGGTGCAGTGACACATGCAGGATGCCATCAGAATCCAGTGGAGCACTCTATATACCACAGAAGCCCAAAGAAAGGAGTTGCATAATGTGCTGGGTTATTGGCAATTGTGATGTTATGCATTTTGGCATAGAAAAAAAAAGTCTGCAACTCAACTTCCTCAGGATTGGAGGGAGAAAACAATTGCCTTGCATGTGTTAGAAAATGAAAATACTTTTCAAACCATAGCCTGTGCTACTCCAGAAAACTTATAATATCATTTAAAGGAAGTCTAAAAACTCACCATTAGACCACTACATTGTCAAACCCTAATTATTTCTGAAACATTAAACGTGCCAGCATTCTTGTGGAAAAGTCTAAGAATCCAAACATACAATAACCACTTTTTTGACAGAATGTGCACCACGTTGGAAGTTTATTGAGTTTTCCTTCATCTAGAAAGTAAATTGGAAGACACTGAGTCTCTTTGTCAACTGCCTGAATAGACACTGAAATACAAGCCAGTTTCCAGCCTCATTCAGCAGGATACAAATTAATTATCTGGATGAAACTGCACAAGAAGAAAATGAAAAAAAAAAAGAACCAACTCCACAGGGACAAAGCCTAAGCCAACAACTGAGAACAATTTTCTATATACAACTAGCTTTCATCCTCAGGTACTTACAAAGGTCCTACTCTACAGAAAATTTAATAGAGTCAAGACGATCGCAGCATAAAAGTGATAACTGTAGGGAACAAATAAGACGGGTCAGATTTCTCAGCAGGGTATGCAATATTGTAAATAAAAAATTAGGTAAAGCCATACAAGAAGTACTCAACAAAGATAAAAGAGGTGAGGAAACAGCATGAAGACTCCATGGAGGCGTAAGCTTTATTTCATCTTTTTCTGGCTCTCAACTAGAATTTTATAAGTAACAAAGTTATATAATTTTACTTTTCAGAAGTTTTTGTGGAGCACTGATCCTACCGAAAAGGAAGAATTAAGATCAGCTAACAAGGCACAGCCACTGTGTTAACCTCATCACACAGCTGTGCTTTCCCATACTACCTGAGGGCATTCCAAAGGACAAAATGCTAGTAGTCATGAAGTGGACCAAAATGTGTAGTGACTTTTCAATATTAACAAATATCCATAAACTGACAGACCAAAAAAGAGTTACGGGCCAGGCCAACTTCAATATAATTTCAATGCCTACCTTCCTCAGGCTTTTTTGAAAATGCTAGCAAAGAGTGATAATGCAAATGTTCACTTTTAATGAACAGAGAAATTAAACCAGTGTTAACCCAGTGCACTGGAGAGGAGATAGGGATGAGCAAGAGCACACTGAAAATTATTCTGACTGAGAGCTCATCATGTGTTGCCTATGTGAGAGAGTTTTAATGAGAGCTCAGTTCTTTTAACAACTAAACTAAAGGCGGCCAAATTCATATCACTTTTGGATTACAGAGTATTTAAACAGGGGATTCAGAACTGAACAAAAAGAGATGGGCACAATGTCCTTAAGTATTTTAATGGAGCAATTTCCATATTTCATAAACAACTAGATTTCTCAAGCTTATTGGCAATCTTGGGCCAGGGCTTATGGTGTGTTAGGATGATGCAAAATAAAAAAAGAGAGACAACAAAGAGGATGTAAAGGGTTCTTTCTCCATCCCCACCCCCATGAAAGCAGTAGGGCAGAATTTGTTTCTAGCACTCAAGACTGCTCTTCAGCAAGGACTTGGCTGTTAAATGAGTACATACACTGCAGCATCAAAGCCTCTACTCACAGCCCACCAGCTTACTAGCTCCTTATCCTGATATCACCAGGTCATATTAGCTGCTGCATATGCTTCTCCTTTTCAGAACAGAAGTTAAATAATGTACAAATGCACATCCCTATACCAGTATCAGGGAACCAGGCTGGGAGGGTTCCTGGAACAGAGGAAATACTGCTTTTCCCCCTGCTGCTGGCCAGCACAGAATATGGCCTGTTTTACTATTTTTATTTCTAACTCAAAGTAACAAGACTTGTATACTAAATACTGTTGACACAGGAGGAAAAACTAAATTTACCTGGCTGATCATAGGAAGCCCATGCTAGGTTTTCTCCACATTTTCCATTAGCAGATTCAGGGCTGTGTTTGAGGACTCTTGTGCTAGCCAATGCTTCTGCATACCTAACAAAGAAATCCACAAATTATATCACATACCAGCGACAGAAAAGCACCAGCTTGTATGGCATGCAGAGGGAAAAATCAGGGTAGAAGGTGGGGATGTTACAAACCTGTCTCTGAATTTCCATATACCTATATGGTAGTGAACATAGGCAGCAGAAGGGCAGCAAGGGGGTGGGGGCTAACATGGCTTAGCCCCTTATGGCAGGGCACTGCTTGTGCCTGCCACTTTAACAGCCCAGCCAAGCAGCCAGCAGGTGCTTGATTGTGGCAGCCATTTTAGATCCCTGGCTGCCTATATAAACAGAACAGGTCACTGCTAGAGGTGCCCAGAGCTGAGGGGCTGGGGTTCTGACTGGCTTGGAGATGAGGCCAGGGCCAGTGTAGCCCTGGGGGGACTACACCTGTAAGGGGGAACAGCTCAGGGAGCTAGGTAGCCTAGAATGAAGGCAGAGTAAGCCACCTGAAAGGAGAGATCCAGGTGGGGTTCAGACTGGGGTCAATGATGTTGACAGCAGTGGATGCCATCTGCGAGGCTTGGGCTGCAGTGTAGGGAAGGAACAAAGCTGCAAATAGTGCCCCCCTGGCATCAGGGCAAGAAATGGGCAAACTCCCGCCTAACTAACCTCTTAATTAGATAACAAGGCATGGCAGATGAGAAGGCGGGTGGTTGGCCCAGAAACAGGTGGGTGAGCTGTTGGTAGACTGGCTCCGAGAAGGCCTCCTGTTACACTCTTCCCCCGCTCCCCAAAACACAGGGCAGCAGTAGGGTCACAAGGCAGACTGACCCTGGGCTTCTACAGTAGAGGTGTAGAGGGGCACATGTGCAGTGGTGAGGGAGGGAGTGGAGCTGGGGGCTGGGCAGGTGCTGCACAACTGGGGCAGGGAATGGGACTGAGTCGCAAGCAGCTTGTCCAGGGGACACAGCTCCTATGCGTACCCCAGGAGGACATGGGTGGGGTGGGGGGCGTATGT